CTGGAGGAGGTAGGTCATTGGGGGCATGCCTTTGAGGTATAATTTTGCCCCTAGCAATAGAGTCATCTCTCTCTCTCTCTCTCTCTCTCTCTCTCTCTCTCTCTCTCCCTCTCTTCCTCTTCCTCTGTCTGACTCTGTTTCAGTCTCTGTCTCTCCCCACACCCCCTCTCTGCTTCCTGGTGTGATATTCTAAGTCACTTTCCTCCATCACACTCTTCCACCATGATGTACTCCCTCACCTCAGGCCCAGAGCATTGGAGTTGGCCATCTATGGACTGAGACCTTTGAAACCATGAGGTCCAAAATGAACTTTTCCTCCTCTAATTGTTCTTGTTAGGTCTTTTGTTCACAGAAGCAAAAAAGCTGACTAAAACCACTAATGATGATTCGCTTTGTAGAGTCCTTCACTTGGAAAAGTGGTACCTATACTTAAAGAGAATCTGCATTTTATCGTAGGGAGAAGAATGGTTCTGGATGGGGAAACAGTGAGTAAGTAGGCAGGGCTCATGCTTCCACTTTGAGAACCACTTTCCAGAGGTCTGCACATTTTGTATCAGAGAAGTGGATAGTAGCTTTCAAGCTAGCAGACAATTATGTTGGGTGTATTCTAACAGGTCATAATCATTTATTTGAGTAAGGTCAGAAATGGTTCTAGCATGTAAGATGGAGAGTGAAAAAGGGTTAAGTAGGTCCATGTCACCCTTGTTCATAATTTTGTGCTTAGTTCACGTGTGGTCTGCTGTGTGCCAACATTTACTGTTGATTGTGTGAGTGAGGCTGTACCTCAGTGAGACTGTTAAATGGTATTCTGATGACCATTATCATAGTTAATTTCGTAATCTGGTCCAGCAGGCTCTCTGCTAGGTCCTTGCAGGATGAACTGGTAAAGATTTCTTTGTATAATTTTTAAGAGAATGATCTTATCTGAATTCATAGTGCTAAAAGAAAGAATCCATCTCTCTGTAGCTCCAGGGTACCCTTAACTGTTTTCCTGTAAGGGATATCAGACAGCAGATAGCTTATAAATAGTTTCCCATCCTTGTCAGATTGGAGATCATGAATGACAATGGCTCAAATTAGAGACAGTTATCTTGGAGTGCTGTATCTTAATACTCTGGTGGTGGCATCCATAAAGTTAGTATCTAGAGCAGCAGTGTGCAGTCAATGAAAACTGCTGTGGTCCTGCCCCAGACAAACCTCAAGGGCAGTTCATGTGTTGCGAGAGACTTCTAATTCCTTACCAATATCAATTCTTCTTTCTTCTTTACTAAGGAAACCCCAGTTCTGGTCAATGAGACATAAATGGAGGAGTTCTGGTAGGGGTACCATATCCTCCTACATCCCTGTTTGCCTTTATTTTCCTGTCCTAAATGTGAACACTATCTGGAAATAGAATAGACATTCTGGAACTGTAAGTGGAATGTAACTTTCTGGAAAAAGGTACCAGTAATTGCCAAGACTTAGGTCCTGATGTTTTTGAATGGTAAAAACAATATCTGCAATATCTGTATTTAGAATTGTCATTATGTAAAGCCTCCCAATTTATTTAAGTTACCCCTTTCATAGTGACAAAGGTGATGTCCCAAGCAGATATATTATGAGGGTATATTTCCGAGATGAAGCTCAGCAATGAAAAACGCTACTCAAAAAAGTTGGGGGGAAACATAAGAAAACTTATTCAGGGCTAAGTCAATCAATCAAGCAGTAGGACAATCTGGAAATGCATAGATGAATCAAGACAATGAAGCAAGAAATGAAAATGGGGTTGGCAGAGACAAAGCAAAACATGGACAATAGGCTGATATGCAGTTCACATACTGAAGAGTTCCTCTTACTAAATTCTCCTTGTGTATGTCTTTGCACATCTCTCTGGGTCAAGGGCATATTTTTAAAGACAACAAATTGCACTGGGTAGGCAGGGACAAGATATGTGTGTGAACATGAGAGACATAGCACAGTGATATGCTGTCTCTTAGATAGCTTGTCAAAAAGGGTTGGCAAGAAAATATGGCAATACCATAATGTTTTAAACTCCTGTCAAAATTAATTGTGAATGCTTGTGATTAAAAGAAAATATATTAGGTCATCTGCAAAAAAAAAAAAATCATAGTTGGAAGTCAAAGGTAAGTCAAAAAATTTTTTGAAAGAATGTAACCCAAGGATGTATAAATACCAGGTTTTGCATAAATACAAAACCAATATGATCCACAGATGAAAAATGCTGGTTTTGGAGGTTAGTATATTTGCCACCATCTAACATGTTCAAACATACGCTATCATCTGTAGAGGAGATTCAGTAAAGGCCTGGGGTGACATTTTGAGAAGCATTTTGCAATGGCTAATCTTAACTGTGTTTTTTATAAGTATGAAAATCAGATATGGTGTAAACCTCTGATCTAGAATAACCAAGATGCATTTTCTGTCCCCCTCTGTAATGGCTATTTCAAAGCATTGGACATACCAGATATGTAGAGTTGTCACATGTACTGCTTTTCCCTTTTTTTCTTTAGTTATCCCTCAAACTCTCCTCTAAATTATAGGGTCTTGTTTTGTTCTTGTTGTTGCTTTTGTTCTGTTCCCAGTCTTTTTTTTTAATGATCCATTTTTACATATTGATGTTAAATCCTATATCTCAGCTTCTTTGGTTGTTTCTATCCATTTCATTAATTGTTAATCACATCTATTTATCTCTTCCTCAGTGACTCACATGATGCTTTCTGCAGGGCCGACATTTAACAGTGTCTGGGGAACTGCATTTTGGGGTAATTACATCTAATTTCCAGGTTTTGGAAATGGCTGTGGCTAGGTTAAATTGTAAGCACATCATAAATCCCTGCTATGTTGGTCATTCAAGTATGTACTAGTAACCCAAAGAGCCAGTGAGATGTGGGGAGAGGTTTTCTGGGTGATTTTAAGAGGGAATAGGTGACATAAATGTGTTGTGTCTGCAGCTTCCAAAAGAATTCCTGACTTCAAAGAAGGAAATTTTTATCAATGGAAACAAAGAGAGCTGAGAGAATAGCATATAGATTAAATCTCACAACAAATGCTGTGAACCTCTGTGTGATAGGACAGCTTGGTTTGGGGGATTCTGTACTAGCCACCAGAAGCATCTGAGCAAAGACTCAAACAAATCCAAAGAGTGCAGGAACAAAATTTTAAATTACTTTTGATTTTTATTAAATTTGACTCAGTTTTTTTTCCCATCACCTCTTCTGAACATTTTTTCTTTATTTCATTTGTATTTCCCAACTAAGGTGTATTTTGCATGTGTACATACCTTTTATTCAAACTATTTCCTCAACTTGCCGGCCTTTTTTTGGTCATTTCTTTTATTCTTTTTTTAATTTCTTTTATTTGGGGGGATATTACATTATATATGTATGTGTTTGCCTTTCTTAGCTTTAGTTTATGATCCCCAAACTCAAACAAGTGTCCAGTTGGCAAGTTGTGAATAAAAAAATAAATAAATCTTCTCTAGTTCTTAATCCACAAAAATAATATGTCCAGTTACAAGAAATAACTTTATATTGAGAAATTAATGTTTGCTTTTGAATGTTCAATAAGGTTTGACTCATTTCCCATCTGTAAATCCATCTTGCATCTTTTCTATACAAGACACAACACTTATTTAGCAACAATTTATGGGGTACACACTGGAAAAAGAAGAGAGAGAAAGACTTCTCAAAGAAGTTTAATGTTAAAAAAAATGTTGCCAGTATTTTGTCTACATGCATGAGTATCTCAAGATTTTAATTTCTTTTCACTTCAAGGAAACTTGTGATGTATAAACATTTTACAAATCTGGTCTCAAAAAACAATGATTTGAATAATCTGTGTTTTAACGAAAAAATGAATCATCAATTTGCTTAGTTTCTCATATAACATGTTTATTAAACATCTCAGTGTCGAGTTTCTTAAGATTTTAACATTTAACCTTGAGATGGAGCTAATACTCTTTTTGGTCTTGGGAATATATTTTGGACTTTCTCATCAACTTTTGAGTAAAATGGATGACACTTTCCTTAAATTGTGCTTGGAGCAAAGACAAAGAAGCATCAGCTCATTTTTTCCAACTAATAAAAAATTTAATGGTGCAGTGTTTATTATAACATTATTTTAATGCTATCATCATAATGTTAAATATCTTAGTTTGCCTCTGTATGTTATTGAAGCTCAATATTATAATTCTTAAACATCTGCAATTTTCACTTGTTTTGAATATAGATACTGAATTTTTAACTTGGATTTTGGAAAAAATAATCTATTAAAGATCAGTATTTATCATCCTTTCCCTGTCCCTCAAGCATAAATTTTCAATCTATAAAATTTTCATAAATTTTCAAGTAAGACAACTTGTCCTGGGATATACTGGGAAGTATGATATTGGGAAGTCTCATATTATTAAGTATAGCTTTTCAAGATCACTTTTTAGAAGTAAAAAAATTACCTCTGCATCAAAGAGAGAATTAAAAATCATTGAAGTTCTGAAGGAGTATGTGCTTTGATTATTGTTCCCACCTCTTTCTTTTTTTAAATATAAAGTGGCAATTTGTACTATTATTAGAAATATACATTTATATATAAAGTTTTGCATTCAAATCTCTTTATTTTTGATTAACTATGACTAAAGACCACAAATCAAATAAAAACTCTATATAATATATCCTCATTTCAGCATTTGTATATATACACATATCTATTTGTCAAACAATCCACTGTTTTAAAGGCGATTCTGACTTAAAAAATGCTATTTACAATTTTATGACAGAGAAATAACCTCTGCCTTAATGGTATTAAAATGAGCAGGGAATTTTTATATTTGACTGGGTCTTATCTTTTGCAGATGAAAGTAAGCAACATCATGAAAAACTTTCCCAAGTGCAAGGCCTTGTAGAGTAAGCCAACAGGGTGGAAGAATAGATATGCTATTTCTGGGTCTATGTTTAAAAAAAAAAAAAGATTGATGATGTTGCCAGTCTTCTTCACCAAGAAACCAGTAGTCCCAAACTATAATCTCCAAACTTTTCAATGAATAACAATCCATTCATTCTTTATCCTTTACTCTTGTCTTAATACTCTCATCTCCCCATAATGGCACCCCAAGATCGCCAATTTAGAAACAATACTAGTTACTGAGTTGTCATTTTCTTAAAAAGAAGAGTTCTTCTAAAGAAGTTTTCTAGATTGATATGAAGCCTATAAATAATCACATTACAGAGGCTGGGGTTGTAGCTCAGTGGTAGAGCGCTCACCTAGCATATGTGAGGCACTGGGTTCGATCCTCAGCACCATATAAATAAGTAAATAAAGGTATTGTGTCCATCTACAACTAAAAAATATTTAAAAAAAAATGAATCACATTACATTACATTGATGTCTCTTTATTGTGCCAATCCATAATGGCTTAAAAATGTTCTATGACTTTCATATGTATAATCAAAACCAAAATTATTACTATGATCAAGAATAGGATGGCTTGGGGGTCTTCCAGTTTTCTGGAGCACAAAAATCTTAAAACTACCAAATGGAACTTCAGAATGACTTATTTCTATACTTTGAACTTAATTTTAAAATCGTTACATATATTAATCAGAAAGATGTTTTGTAAGACTCTCAAAAGTTTTGTTTTCATTCTCAAGTCTATTGATTTTGAAACATATTACAGTAAGAATTTACAGTAACCATGTCTTAATTTATATCTTACATACACAATTTCAAAGCTTTACTAAAAGCCATACTTTTTCTGGGAATCTCCCAGGGCATTTTTCTAAAAACTTTTTCCACTTGAAGGAGAAGATAGATGAGTTAAAGACCCAAAAATTAGAACAATGAAAAGTCAAAGTAATTAATAAGTATATTTGGAATAAAATGGAAAAACAAAGTATTAAAACTGACTCATTTTTTGAAAGAAAAAGACAATTATAGTTTTATATTTCATAATAATTTCAAAACTTAGTGAATAATGACTGCAATAGGTTTTAATGTACTGTTAAAAAAGCAGCAGTCAAGTAAACCTTTACCCTGAGCTCTGAACCATCATTTTTCTCGGGTTTATTCTGTAAAAGAAATTAGTTGAAAATCAGCAAAACTAATTTCAAGAACATTTCATTGCAGTGAACATATGCTTAATATGATATGGAGGAAATACAATACTCAGATTGGGTGGTTGGAACTCTGCTTCTTAACTGGTCTCATGAAAGAGACAGATGTGGGTCTGCATGACAAATAATGGGTAGTCACTGTAAGCAGAGAAAGGAATGTTGCTGGAGATTCCTATTTCTGTCATAATTTTCATAATTAACTGTATTAAATATATTTTCATGAAATCACCAGTGTAAGTAATTGTGACTTCTGTCTTTTGTGTTACTTGTGAAACCATTGCATGTGTTACTGATGAGACCATGTGCGTTACTACAGAAGCTCCGGCCGTTTCATGCTAAAAGAGCTTGTGAACCATTTCATCGAAGCCTCTTTTTTATTTTTTCAAAGAAAATAAAGCTTTGTGCTTGGGATTTGTTTGGTCCTGGAAGTGACAGGGGTCTTATGTTGAACCAAGAGTGACGAAGAAGATATACCAGGATTTGCATTTTTTAAAAAAACAGGGTATTTTTTTCCTAGAAGAGTGACATATCATTTTTTTCTAAAAATTAAATGCACTTATTTGTTACTTTCAAAATATTTTGATTAAACAAATATCCTTTGAAAATGTGTATTCAAAATCCTTGCCTAGTAGCATAATGTTTATTCTTTCCAATTGATTAGGCAAATTCCTCCATTTTTTTTTTCTGGTAACTTCCTGATAACATAAATAGGATACTTGGTGAAGGACAAGAACCACTATTGAAGAATAATGACCATGTGGAGTGAGGGAAACTACATTGACCTTGAAAGAATACAGCAATCAATGGCAAGGTTGGAAGTGAGGACCTAGAGCTGCAAAGTGTATACATTTTAGGGAGTCATATTTAGAACAAGACATGCTGGACAGTAGAGATATAGGAGAAGTTACATGCTAAGTCTTCTCATTAATAATATCCATAAATCTGCATACATTTTTAAACATTCTGTTTTGTTTTATTTTTGTTGAAATTTGGTTGTCTCTACATCATTTCTGATTTGTAGGGCTAAGTAGAACTATTTATTCCAATGCAATTGTACAACTTTCATTTCTTGGCTAATATTTTTGTCTAATACTTTAATTTTTCTAACTGTGTGTTTGCTTGCTCTTACACTGAGTTCTTTTTCATTCCTTTAAGCCACTCCCAGTTCAGTCCCTTGGAGCCATAGCTGCTAATTCCATAACTGTTTCTCCATGTCACCTGAAAATTCAGTGTACAAATAGTACCCTCTGTCTTCTAAGCTACAGATTTATTGTCAACTGGACTTATAAATGAGGATATATATCAACAAACAGTCCACCAGGTTCATAAGACGGTAAGCTACGAATTCAAAGCCTTGCCTCCCATTTTCTCATACAGTTTGGAAAATGCTATATACATAAAACTTCAACAAAGTACAAAGGGGAAATACACTGACCCATTTCCTTGGACTTATTTCTTTATGTGAAACCCATCTCTCTTTCCTGCTGCAAGATATGGTACAAAACTCTCTAAGACAACTAGACATGTACCTCTACTCTCAAAAGTGTCCAAAATGCAAAAAAATAAGAACAAATGTAAAAGTATTAGGAAAAGAATGTTTTCTAAATGACTAAAATATAAAATAATATCTTGTATTAATAACTTTGATAAAAATATATTCTCTTAAGAGTATTTGAAACTCTTGTTTATAAAGGAATTTATAAGTCAACTAATACCATTAGATTCAATACAAGATTAATCTTTTGCCAAAAAAAACAATCTTAATAGGTTCAAGAGTAATTTTTTGAAATTTTCCTTGATGTTAAATAATTCCTGGCTATACACCTTACAGGCATTAAAAAAAAGTATAATTTACATGTTCAATTCATGGCTAAAAAAAATCTTAGAGAAAGTATGTAATTGTGTGTCAATTCTAGATGTCCAAAACAAACAAACAAAAAAACCCAACAACAAACAAAACCACATATCACAGCATTATCAAAAGTTTAAGCCATTTAGAATCTAAGATCAGTTTGTGAGTTCAGTTCTGAAAAACCCTTTCCTTCTAGGTAACTTCTTTTCATCTTTATTGTAGTTATTTATGAAGTAGCCCTCTATTAAGAACAACACAGTTTGATGTTTGTGGAGTCCTGATTTATTTTTCCTTTGCTTTTATGTATGCTAATCTTTGTGCATGTGAATTTTCTACCACATTGCAACAGGCAAGCTTTGGTTCACTTTTCTCATTTTACACAAAGGAAGATTTTGAGTGCAGAATCTTAGCTACTAGGTCCTGCATTGCCATTTTATTTTTCTCTCCTTGGGTGGATTATTGGAAGGACATGGGGAAAGGGAAGGAAAGAGTAAGGGAAGGGATAAGAGAGGGAAGAAGGGAAGAGTTCTCAGCTATGTTGAATCTTGATTCACGACTTTGCCTCCATTCATGGTTGGTGTTCCAGAACTTTTCCTCGAACGTCCTTGTTTTTCTCCAATTTCGTGTAGTGATGGTTCTCTGTACATACACACTGGAAAGCAAAATGACAATAATTACTTATGATAATGAACATCAATTTTGCTTCAATAAAATTCACAAATATTTACTTTAGGATATTCTTCACTTAATCATTGATTTTCCTCCCCATTGTGAAAGGGTTTTAGTTTGATGTATAGTGGCTATCCCTGGTTTTCTTCCAGTTCTATAAGTCATAACCCTTTAAGCTTTCTTATATTGCAGTATGTAGGTTCTTTCAGTTTTCTGGTAGATAAGGTTGGAGTCTTTACAGCCTCCTAACCTATATAATAGGATTTCTATCCAGAGTTAGGGGAGAAATTAGAGGTAGAGCATTTGAAGTTAGAAGTAGCATTTTGCTTTTTTGGTCCATTTTTTGCAATTTAGTTTGGGAAGGGAAAAATATTTACTGACATGCTCCTAACCTTAACCTAACCACTGTAAGAATCATGACATTGTTGTGTCAAACTGAACTTTTAGTTCCAACTTTCAGGACATACTATAAGAAATGATAATGGAGAGGAGAGAGAAGAAGAAAGAACATGAATCAATTTCCCTGATTACCCCAGATTTTGTCTAAATTAAGGGACACAGCCCATGATTTTTTAGTTATTCATCAATAGGGAATGTGATTATGCAACCATGAGATTTCATTTTGCGTCTATTTAATGGTCTTTTTCTCCTCTCTGCTTTCTCTAACTCTAAAGCCCAGTCTGCAAACTAGTATGGCTGTTGTGAGATTACTGCAACAGAACAATATTTTCCAATTTATAGTTATTCTCCTAAGATAAGATCAATCAGCATGTTGAATCCATTTTGCTTCATTAGACTGTTGCGAGTTAGACAAAACTGACTGTATAAGACATATTTCACTGACGTATCAGGAATTATTATTTCATCCTTCATTTTGGAAAACCAGCTAAGCATCTACATTTATTCAAGCATAACTCAATGGCTTAATAATGTGGATGCCATTTCCCACATAACATAATTTCCTCCCTTGGGCTTGAAAGGTTAAGAGTACAAGTTTGGAAGTCATACTACCTGGATCCATATCTTTTATTAAGCCACTTTCTTGCTCTCTGCTTAATAAATCAAATAGGTATTTGAATTGCTGTATTCTTCCTTAGGAAAAATATTGGATGCTTAGATAAAGCAAACTAAGGTCATTCTAGGAATTGTATGCAAATACAAAAATATAAAGAAAAGAAAAGAAAGAAGAGAAAGAGAGCAAGATATTTATCAAACTTACAGATTAAATTTAATTTTTTATGCTTTAACTTTCATTCTTGTTTACAGCTCTGGAATTCAGTAATATATCTAAGTTAAGAAGGGGTATGAACCTCAATAAAATTTTAGAACTAAAACATAATCAAAATAGCATAATTCATTTAAAATGCAAAAAAGAAAGGAAAAAGCATTTTTTTGTAATACAACTGCCTTTGATAGCTGTATCAATTCTGAATTGCACAAAATAAATGCCAACAACAGGAGAAAAACGATGATAAGTGTTCGATAAAGTTCATTGTAAGTCCAAACTGTAAACCCAAACCTCTGTAACGAAAATAACAACCACGATGATGATCCCTTGAAAGATCCATCATTTTGAAGTATTCAAAGACATTTAAAATTGATTAAGTCATTTGATAATAATAATAGACCTATAAATATTGTAGGTAAGAAATTATCTTTATTTTTACAAACATAAAAGAACCTAAATGTCTTCCCTAAAGCTAGATTGCGATCAGGCAGAGAGAGGATAAGAATGCAGGGTTTCAAAGACCAGTAAGCCAGTAAAGCTGTAATTCATCAAATAAAGTACAAATGACTGCCTTATATTAGTTTAAAAATTTCAACCATATATTAATCAGTATGTGAGCTGGCCTTACCTTTACTAAATATTTTAATGTCATCAAGCAATGATAACAATAAAAACTAGTACAGCATGGCTTTTATCAAAGAAAGAAAGAAAGAGTGAGCAAGTATGTGGAGAAGCTGAAATCCATGTGGATTGTCCATGTGGCATCTTTACTTGGACTTCTTAATAAGTTCTTTTGTCACACTATTACAGACAGTGAAATCCACTTTTCTACTCTTCCCCATTTTAATATATAGCATCTGGTTGTTCTTGCCCAAAACTTAAGTGTCATCACTGTCTTCTCTCTTTACCTAACAACCTACACTCTATCCATTAGTATGCTCCATCTGCTCTGACTTCTAAATAAATCCAAAGTCATTCTTTCTACCTGCGGCTATAAAGCCCTCAAGGAGAAGCTACCATCATCTTGTCTAAGATCCTGGCCAATTTCCTTGCAATCTTGCTCCAAATCTGTAATGACTTCCAAACACATTAGCCACAATATCCAAAGTCCTCAAGGAGGCTATCAGGTCTTATTTTATCTGGTTCCTGCCTCTACAACTTCTGCCCTTCCCCATTTAATCAATCCATTCCAGTCACATGACCCTTCTTGCTCACAAGTGACAAGCTTGGATTACATCAGGGTCTTTGGAAACAATTTTGCCTGGAAACTTCTCTCACATCTTTTCATGGTTTACTATTAAATTTCATTGAGATTCCATTCAAATGTAATTAATCTGTGTCATATTTCCTGAGAGGTTTACCTTGACCTCCCTATGTAAAACTGCCACACTTTCCCCCCTTAAATCTAATATCTAATGGTGTGTTTAAATATTTGCTCCTCTATTTATTGTTCATTTATGTATTTATCGATTTATGACTTTCTAGATATAAATGCCATGAAATAAACCCACAAATAAAAAACCTTTCTCTTAAGTACCACAGCATCCCTATTAGTTAGAACTGTGAAGGATGCTCAGTGAGTGTTCTGTGATTATTTTGCAAAGGAATACCCTTATCTACTATCTTCGGTGCCTCACTACAGAAGATGATAGCTGGAGTAAAGCTTAACTTTCTTTCACTTTTAATGTCAGTGAATCTTTACTTTCTCTAAAGTTCTAAACTTGGGCTGACTTCCCTAAAATGTACCAGTACATAGGTAGAACAGGTGATTTTGAAAGAATACAGCAATGAACATCATGTGATAATCTACATTTATCTAGCTTCTCTAGTTTATTGATATCTGGATAAACAAGTAATATGTCTCATCTTCATGGAAATAAAAAAAATCAATGGCAAATAAAATAAAACAGGAAAATTAACAACATCTCTTTCTTTCCCCCATATGACCTATGGTAAATTGTAGCCTAGAAAACAAAGGAGAGTCTGAGAATCATAGCATCTAATGATTCCATAACTCAGTGTTTCTCAAAGTGTGTCCACTGACCTGCCAGCAGCAAGAGCAGTACCTACAACTTTAAGAACTTTAAATTACTGGACCAGCCCAGATATATAGAATTAAAAACTCAGAGGATGAAGTCCAGAAATTTATGCTTAAACAAGCCCTGCATGTGATTCTGGTTCACATTCAACTTGTAGAGCTGCTCTCTTTAATGCTTATATGAAAATCACTTCTATTACTCTCTAAAAAACTACATATTTGTGCAAATGTCTTGCCTCTGCAGATCCTAATTTACAACAAGAACACACACAACAACTGATAAAGAAGCACAATGAATAACTCTATATAATGACAAAGCCTATTCTCTTACACACACACACACACACACACACACACACACACACACACCTTACATTCTTGTTAGAAAAAGCAGGAGGTCTAAAGTTAAAAGGCAACAGTTCTGGCCATAGCTTTGCCTCCTTCTAGCCCTAAGGACTTCAGTGAGTTATTTAACCTCTCTTAAGTTTAGATTCCTTATGTTTAAAATAGGAACAATAGGGCTGGGGATATGGCGCAGAGTGTGTGCCTCACGTGCACAAGGTCCTGGGTTCAATCTCTAGAACCATAAAAAATAAGTAAAATAAAAATAGGAAGAATAAATATTAATCTGCATATTTTAATGATTTTGGCGACTCTCAAGTGACAATCCAATTAGGGAAACAGGTTGAAAATAACAATGTGCTATGTGAATGGAATTTAAAGTAGTAGAGCTGCTACTAATTATTACTTCTACGTGGCTGCTGAATTCTTGACAGATTATTTGAAAGCAAAGTCCCGGGTAGAACTAGGTATAAATCCTTGTAAGTCCATGTTTCTCTGTAGAGAGAGTTGGACCACCTGTGGGCTGGGCCATTGCCATTGTTGCTGTCAGGTTCTATATTTCTAATGGAATCAATATAATTTCTGTCTTGGATGAAACTTAGAAATTATGCACTCGAAGAACCCTCATCCTCTATCAGTTTCCATGAAAAAAATTGAATATGATTAATTTTTTTATTACTACCAATTTAATCAAATTTTCCTTGGCCCTCTGTAATTTCCCAGAAATGGAAAGGTTAGATTGCTGTTACTTAATGCACCATTAAAGATATTTAATTGTCTTAATAGCAGATCATAGAAGGGCGTGGGCAATTAACATGAAGCAATTTCACGCCTTAATTAATGTCACAAGGAATCCCTTTGGAAATGTAGGAGAATTTTAGTGCTGCTTTGGAAGCAATACACCATAAGAATGTACCCAGTATGGCATAAATATTTATTACAAAGAGTTAACAGACATTGTAAACAAAAAGATCCCTATCTTCATTTAGAAAGAGAGCAGAAACAATATTTGGTGTAGAAGAGGGAGAGGAAGGAGAGTTTTATTAAAGACTAAATTTAGAAATCAGCAAAAGTTGCTTTGAACAAGTTGAAATGGTGTTCAGGAAGAAGGTATCATAGGCTAGCAGAAATCCAGAATTAAAAGATGGAGAGAGCTAAAGCTAATGTTTTCTCTGTCACTAAAGGGATCAGCATTATTTGAGGTCCTGCTTTGCAATTTCTGTTTTTCTTGTTTAGAATAGCTGGTTCCAAAAGAAAATTTGGAGACAATCTACTGAGTTCTCATCCTAGATAATTAAAATAAAAATATCAAAATAAAATTGCCATTATTGTCTTCCCAATTGGGGCTTTACAACATAATGACTCCTGATTTGTT